GTAGTCTCAGAATTTGTGCAAGTTAAAAGATTATTTACCAAGGCAGTTTGGACACAACAGAGTCATTAAAACAGGCTGGGCTTTGGAGTTTGGGCTGGAATGACAATAAGACAAGCTTTTTGCTGAGACTTTTGTAAGCTCTGATCTCAAAGGAAATAGTCTTCATTTTTCCTGAGATTTTTTTAGTCCACACAATTTAATATCTGAATGCTCAAAAAAAAAAATAGCTTTCCAAGCTCCAGCTATTTTTTCCCCCTTTTTGTTTTCTGTTGCAAAAGAAAATCCAAACATTCCTGCTTGGACTGCCCCACGCTGTTGCTTCCAGCCCAGTTTTTCAGCTTCCCCCTGAAATACAGGGAGCCTTTGGGTATTTGGGAGCCTTTGGGATTGGCTGATGTACCCCACAACCCCACACTGCTGTGATGGGGTCCAGCTCTCCCATTTAAATTCATTAAATTGGGGCAAAACCTGTGTGGAAGCAGGATGCAGCAGCAGCACATTGTAGGTGGCCCGGGTAAAAATATCCCCAATATAAAAACATCAGCCTTATAAAAATATCACCCATAGAGTAACACAAATAATAATAATACCCATATAAAAATAATGCCCATATAAAAATCACAGCCCTCTGGCCCTCAGGTGCTGGGCATATTTAACACCATCAGCTCTCTGGGCCTCCCATCAGGATTTTAAGTTGCTGATTTTAGGATTTTGCTTTGGCCTAACACATCCTCATCCCCTCCACGGGCACCAGTGCCAAACCCACTTGAACCCCATGGATTTCCCGGGTAATCCAGTGCGTGACAATGCAATAAAATCCTTTTTTATTTGTTTTTTTCCCCTCCACCTCTCTCCTTCTCCTTCTCTCTTCCCACTGCAGCTCTGAGGCTGCGAGAAAAGCAGGGATCCGTTCGGAACAGAAAGTTCCTGTAAATAACAGCTACACCTCGGGGTGTTTCCTCTCCCAGTAGCTGTGAAGAAAAGGCAGCTAACTCTCGGGTTTTCCTTGGAATATATTCCTGCTGGCCAGGGCTGTGGAGCTGGGTACGAGCATTTATTGTGGTGTGGTTTGGGCTTTTCCTACTTTTATTTTTTCCTCTTTCCACGCGGACGCCGCTGTGGGCAGCGCTCAGGAGATGCTGCAGAGGGGAGGCAGAGCTTTGGGAATGCCCCGAGCTCATGAATAATTCTGGCTCTGATTTCCCCGGCTCCTCGGCAGCCCCGGCCTTGGCACCGGCTCCTGTTGCGGGCTGGGACCTTTCGGGTTTGGCCTTTCCGCCGTCGTTTGGGCTCTGTAGGCGGGCGCTGAGTGCTGCGGGCTCTGGGCTGCGCTGCCCGGCAGGTCGGGTCCCGCTGGCTTTGTGCGGAGCTGACGGAGCAGGGCAGGGAGGCGGTGCGGGGCTGATGCGGGGCTGGCACGCAGCGATCGCCCCGCCGGGGCTGCCCGCGGGCACGGCCGGTGCTGCCGACCCTCCGCAGAGATTTCAGTGGGTTTGCAGCGAGCTCAGCTCCCCCCATCCCACCCCGTCCCTGCCCGCCCTCCCCTGGGCACCCCTGTGGTGCCCAACTGTGGCCAAGAGCAGCCCTCGAGCACCGGGGCTGGGACGGGGATGCTCTGAATGAGCCGAAAATCAGAGCTTGGAGGAAGGGCAGCGTGGGGAACCTTCCCCTGGCACCGGGACACAAAAACCAGCGTGGGGAACCTTCCCCTGGCACCGGGGCACGAAAACCAGCGTGGGGAAACTTCCCCTGGCACCGGGGCACAAAAACCAGCGTGGGGAACCTTTCCCTGGCACCGGGGCACAGAAACCAGCGTGGGGAAACTTCCCCTGGCACCGGGGCACAAAAACCAGCGTGGGGAACCTTCCTCTGCACCGGGGCACAAAAAGCAGCGTGAGGAGCCCTCCCTGCCCCTGGCACAGAAAGAGCAGCGTGGGGAACCTTCCCTTGGCATCGGGGCACAAAAACCAGCGTGAGGAACCTTCCCCTGGCACCGGGGCACAAAAAGCAGCGTGAGGAACCTTCCCTTGGCACCGGGGCACAAAAACCAGCGTGGGGAACCTTCCCTTGGCACCGGGGCACAAAAAGCAGCGTGAGGAACCTTTCCCTGCCCCGGGCACGGCCCCCGGCGAGAAGTGACAGGCGGGAGGCGGCGGGGCCATTGTAACCATTCGTTTATTGTTCCACATGGCATCGACAGGATTACACGGCGGCCCGAGGCCACGGCCACGGAGCACAAACGACCCCAGCCCCGAAAAGCAGAGCTGTCCCCGAGCCGTGGCTCTGTCCCCGAGCCGCGGCTCTGTCCCCACGCCAGCCCCGCGGAGCCCGGCTGCTCTCGGGGAAGCCAGAGCCGGGAGGCTCCTCCAGCCGCAGCTTCCCCGATGCCTTCTCCAGGAGCAGACCCTCCTCCTCCTCTTCCTCTGCCCTCCCCACCTCCCCCCTCCCCAGTGACAAGTGCTACAGGTTTAAAATTGGGCTACATATTAAATATAGGGCATTACCTTCAAGTAGGGTTGGGGTATTACACAAATAACCACATTTTTTTTTGGTATCGCTAGCAATTTTTTTTTAATGTCCATCAGAAGACGCCATTAAAAAACCCAACAACTTTAGCCTTCTTTATCTACAAAGATCTCTGATCTCATCTCCTTAGTCTGGTGATCTTTTACCCTGCACATACAAGTATTAGAAGCATTATTAAGAATCGTATCCTTCAACACATTTAAGAATTATATTATTATAACAAATAAGACCAAAAATTAGATTTTATAGTTAAATATTCTGTGAGCCAGACAAAGGGGCTTTACTGTACAAGCGATTGTGCATTTTTAAAAAAAAAAAAAGCAAATTATAGTGCAAAGCAAAAAACATTGGCCTGTCTCATGACCACTTGCATACAACGGAGGTGCATCTATTTACACCTTCACATGACAATATGTCATAAAAACAACATCATTGCCATTCTTTTTATTATTTTCTCCTTTAAAACTTACTACAAATAGTCTTAAATTAACCTACAACTAGGAACGCCTTGTTTCCTTTGTGCTTTCAACCAGTGGGACAGGATGACAAATGCAAAAAGGCATTAAAACACAGGCTGCCCTGTCCAGCTGCAGAGCCGGCGAGTGCCGGCGCTAAGGCAAGTGGAGGTTGCAGTTATGCTGGGGTAAGGCCTTTTATATATTTAAAAAAAAAAATTATTATTATCATCATTATTATTATTATTGAAAAGAGTTGTTCTTCGTTGCTTCTGGAACTCGGAGTGGTCATGGCAGCTCTCCAGGGCAGCCAGGACGTGCTGCTCCAGCCCTGCTGTGGTAGTGCAATTCCAGCGCTCTGTGCTGAGGGTGGCCGGCTGCCAGCTGGGAGCTGGGGACAGGTGACAAGGCTGGGACGGTGTGGCTGGGGCACAGGGGCCAGGAGGGCAGCTCTGGGGGATCGATTTTCTTCTGGTTATGGGAGAAGTGGAAAAAAGAAAGGCGTGGTGACTGGTGGCACTGGGGCTGTCCTCTGGCTGCAGGGAGGGCCCTGCAGGGCACTGGGCCCTGCAGTTGTGGATGCCCAGGAATCTGTCTGTGCCCTCCCAGCCCTGCCAGCATGAAGAATCCTGAACCCAGCCCCAGTTCTCATGCCAGCAGAGGGCACAGGTGGCCTGCAGGAGGTGACAAACCCTGTGCTGTGCATCAGAGCCAAGCCCTGAGCCGGCCTTGGAGGAGCCCAGAGCACCCCTCCACCACGGAACTGTTCGGTTGCAATCTGTGTGGTGTCAGCTGTGAGGGTGTGTGCTGCTTGGCAGACCTGGTTCCTGCAAATACCACCTGATGCCACCGCCACCAGCGGCATGGAGTGCCCCCTCTACAGCGAGACCACCGTGCTCAGGTCACCTGGGGAAGGACAGGAGGGTGAGGGGATGGAAGAGGCTGCACAGCATCAATTCACAACATTCCCACCACCAGGAGTAGAAACTGCTCCTTTCTCCAGATCTCAGAGCTTTCAGGATGAACTGAGACGTGAATCAAAATAAAAAATTGGATGAGAACATGGGAAAGGACCAGAACAGAAGTGTGAAGCTTTGCCACCAGCTGTGAGTGTTGCCTCTCTGAGGGGACGGAAGGAACGCCTGGAGGACGGATGCAAGGCTGTGCCAAAGGCTCCTGAGCCCCTTGGAAGTGCATCTCAAATGTCTCAGATTGTCCTGAACGCCGCCTTCCCTTCAGCCACCATCACTGAGGTTTGCTAAGGAAAGCAAAGAGCTGAATGGTGAGGTCAGGACAAGAGAGCAAACAAACAAAACAAAACATCTCCATAAAAAGTACAACTTGTGTGTAAACATGGAGGGGAGAGGTCAGCCAGGCCCGGGGTCAGCCACGTTACTGATTGACAAATGACAACAGTGACACCAAAATGAATAATACAACTTGTGTCGTCAACAAATAATAACAATAATCACATCACAGCTCTTGTTCACGTGGCTGACTGAGCCCCAGTGCCCCTGGCTGTGCTGCAAACCCACTGCTCTGTGGTGCTCAGGGACCCTTCACCAGCAGGGAGGGGAGGACAGGAGACAATGGGGTTTTTTTCTTTTTTTCTCCTTTTTTTTAAAGTTAAGTTCAGTCCTCTAGCACTGGCAGAGAGATGGCTCGGATGACTTCCTGGTGACTTCTCTTCTCTGAACCATTTTGCAGAGGAAGGGTGAGATTCTCCTCACTTCTGAATGCTTCGTGTGGGGAAGAGGTGTGAGATGAATGAGAAGTGTTCTGCGAGTACCAAACATCTGATTCCACACGTCCTTGGGGTTTTTTTTTCCCTATGTACAATCCACATACCTAAAACATACGAAAGGAACCACATCAAGCGACACATTCAAGCCTCGTGGGTGTTCACCTTGAAATGTAACGAAGGTCTTGGTCCATCTTCGCTTGATGTCTGCATGCAGAGGATCCTTAGCTTTGGGTTTGGAAGACTTTGGTTTAACTTTTCCCTTGGCATCACTTTGGTGGCTCCCAAGAGGAGCCACGGTGGCCGATTAAGTCAACGACACGGCTTTGTTCCCAGCCGAGCTCCTCCTCAGTAGGGTCTCCAGACGGACTCGTCCATCCTGCCCGTGGTGCTCATGGCGGTGGGGGAATTGCTGTGGCTGCCGTCCGCATCCACGCCGTCGTTCTGCGCGCCCAGGCTGGCGTTCATCAGGTTGTTCCCCGCCGAGGCGCTGGTGCAGGACGAGAGCATGCGGGTGGGCGAGCGCTCGCCTCCCGCCACCATGGAGAACTGGTAGGAGCCCGAGGACGTCCCGTAGTACAAGTGGTAGGGAGAGGGGTTGGCCTGGAAGGGCCCGCTCTGGTTCTGCGTGGAGCTGGGGTACGGGGGCGGCAGGTAGGTGTGGTGGAAGCGGGTGGTGGTGGGCATGCTGGTCATGCTGATGCCCCCGATGCCCGTGGCCGAGGGCGTGGCCGTGTAGGGGAAGGCGGCGGACATGGCGCCGGGGTAATGCATCCGCGGGTCGGAGAAGCGCGTCTCCGTCAGCGCCGGCAGCGTGGGGAAGGAGCGCTCGAACTGCCGCGGGTCCGAGAAGGGGCTCAGCTCCGACGTGCCTGCCGGGGCGCAGGAGGAGAGGGGGTGGTTAGAGCGTTCCCAAGGAATCAGGAGGGAAAGCACCTCTTGGGTCTGCCAAGGAAAAGAGCTGAGGGACTTAAATAAAAACCCTAAAGCCATTTGTTTAAGTTGCTCCCATTTCCTGTCCTAAAATTTGTTGTTTCCTATCCAAGAAGGGACACGGCTAAGCTGACTTCTCTTAGGGGTCTATTCATCTCGGGCAGATTAAAGCAGCACACCCCATAAACACAGAAAAAAGATGTTTAGCCATGACATCAGCTGTGTAGTAAATAAATGGAGGCCGGCCCCAGACGGCCGGGCCCTGGGATCATCCATCCCTGCTGTATACACACACACACACACACACACGGAGACAGGCAGGAAAAGCTGGAGCCCAGACCAGCCTGCTAAGCCTTCTGTGGGTGGCCTGTTTGTGCTGATACCATCAGGGGATGGAGCTGATAAACACACAGCTGAAAACTCCCAAGCCAGGAGCCACTATATCCCTCTGCTTCAGTTCTCTGTGTATTTTTCTCCTTCCAAGAGCATAAAGAGAGTGAGAAATTCAGGCTCTCTGCTGGGGGAAGGGAGACTTGTGGTGGGAATGTTCCCCAGCTCCATTGGATTATGGAGCACCCCACACCTTTTCCTGGAGGGTCTAAACCCAAAGCGGGTCACAGCCAGCTTAGAACTGGAAAGGGATCCCTTCCTCCTGCAGGAAACCCAGGTTAGTGGTGGGAATCCACAGCAGAAGCTCCTTTGAGGAGCTGGAGGCATTCCTGTGGCTCTCTCAGCTGTCCCAAGGCTGAGACAGAGCCCAGGAACCTCTGGCCTTGGTGCATCAAAGCAGAGAGAAGTGAGGTTTGCTCTCCAAGAAGAGAGTGAAACCTCAACCTCTGTCCTTCAGACCTCCTCTATTTTCCCCTTGTTAAAAGCAGGGCCTTTCTCCTTTGCTAGTGGGATGCCACCCAGCTTCAAAAGTGACTTTTTTTGGTCATATCAGCTGGATTTTGTATCCCTCAGAGTAAGAGAATATGAGGTGAGTATGCTAAACACGACTGTTGGTTTTGGAAATGCATATACATACAGACACACATCCAGAGGATTGTGTGGCTGCTCTGCATGCACAGGGACGCGTGTTTTAGATCTATTTATTACAATGAAGCATTTTTAACTTCTCAGGGCTGGCGTCCCAGGCCCCAAAGCATTTCCCCAGGAAAAAAACTCTTGATTTAATCCCTTCCAGCTACCTAGTGACACAGGCACACTCTGGAGGAGCAGGTATGGAGGGAATTTGGTTTGAACCTCCCTTCTGATCCCAGGTGAGTCCTTCAGCAGTGGAAGGAGAAGGGGAGGATCCTCCCTCCCTCCCCTGCAGCCCTTTTGCGGGCACCCAGCAGCGCCTGCCTTCCCACGCAGGCTCCACGGAGGGGAAAGGCGGGGGAGCACCTGGTTTGTGAACGTGGCTGTGGCTTTGGGGCGAGATAAGAGAGGAGCAGCTCAAAGCTGTCCCGAGCCACACTGCTCTGCACACACCCGGCGTCGCAAAGCGCCCGTGGAAGCGGCTGCCCGGCCACAGGGCCGGCCCTGCTCCGTGCTGGGCTGGCTGGAAAAGCCCAGCGGTGGGAAAAGCGCTCCCAGCCTGATTTCACTGATTTCACAGCCCAGCAGGGACCCGTCCCAAAGCCGTGCTGCGGCCACAGCTGCTGCCAGGCACTGAGGTTTGAGGGAGCTGAGGTTTGCAGACCAGCTCAGCAAGAAGCAGCCTGACCGCAGCCCCGTGGCGGTAGCATCACGGCTTGAGACAGGACCATGGGGCAGAAATCCTGCCTGCACCTGGGCTGGAAAGAAAAAGTGCTGTCTTCTGAATGCCTCCCCTTAAACTCGGCGGAAAAAGCAGCCCCCAAATCCCCCTCAGCCCCCAAACACCCGGATTGCTGCTCGCTGCCTTGCCAGATGACAATCTCCAGCGCTAAGACCGCGCTCCTTCATTACTTTTCACAGCTCTATAAATAATATTCCATAAAATGCAAATCGAAATCAAACCCGAGCGCTCAGGGCACATTTCCTTTTTCCTCTATAACTCACTCAAAGAGGGCTTCTTTTTTTTTTTTTTTTTAGAGGCTACGTTTTATTGGCCTGAACTTGCACCGTTTGGCAGTGGGTCCCTGCTATTAATTTAGACAGGAGCATGTAAGAGTTTTAATTTTGGGCTCTGTGTGTGTGACGGGCAAGGCACAGCGAGGCTGTGGGGTCTGGAGATGCTCAGGTCGGGCAGAGGCAGCTCTGCCAGGCTCCGAACCCCTGGCCAGGGCACTCTGCAGGGCTGCCATCGCGAATTGACATCCTTCAAAAAGCAAATCCCTCAGCGCAAACCCCTCAAATGAAATCCACGCCCAGCAGAGCCACGAGGCGTCCGAGCGGCCGTGACCAGCTCGCTTTCACCCCCGCCGGCCTGGCGCTCTGTGTCTGGCTCAGAATAAAGCTCCAGCTTTCCCTGGCCGGTCTGAGGCTACGAATAAAACCCCTCAAACCGCTCTAAAAACAAAACGGCGGCGGCCGCGGCCCGCGCAGCGTCCCCTGAGGGGAGCGGGAGGCGCGGCCAGCAGGGGGCGCCCGGCGGGCGGCGGGAAAGAGGCGGGAAAGGGGCGGAGGGGCCGGAGGGGCCGGGGCCGCAGCGCTGCCGTGTGTCCTGGGTCCCTCACCTCGGCACTGCCCCTCTCTCATGTGCCCTTCACCTCAGGGCAGACCCTCTGTCCTGTCTGCTTCACCCCAGGGCAGCCCCCCTGATCTGTGCCCTTCACCTCAGGACTCCCCTCCATCCCATCTCCTTCACCTCAGGGTTCCCTTCCATCCCGTCTCCTTCACCTCAGGGCTTCCCTCTGTCCCATCTCCTTCACCTCAGGGCTCCCCTCC